TCTATCCATAATTAATAATTCACAAACAACAATTTATCTTTTTACACTTCTTCATTTCTAATTCCAGTAATTCTGCCTCTTCATTTCTAATTCCAGTAATTCTCTTCTTCATTTCTAATTCCAGTGCATTCTGTATCATTCTTCAGTGCTACTCGCTATCATTATGATTTTCTCATATCGTTTACAATTTCAATATTAACACATTTTTTATTATATACTAATTTATATTATTTGATGCTTCATATGAAAAAATAAATTTTTACGATTAGCAATTTTCACTACGTGAAGTCTTATAAGTGATGCCTTATGCTTCACTCTGGATGTAATGATGCATCAAAAGTGTATGATACGTTTTCCACTCAAAAAAAATGAATTCAAAACAGAAAACCTTTGAACTTATTCGGTAACTAATGACTACCTTGCAGTTTCAACCATTCAAAGCATGAATATTTTCAGTGATGACAAATGTAGTTGTAAATTCAAAATGAAAAGCTTTCAGGAACCATAAATATAGCTTGAAATATGAGCAGTTCGAATTTACTTCATGTCTGTAACTTTCTATTAAATTCTGTTTTACAGAGCTCTCAGAACTTCTAAAAAAAAGTGCTTCTGAAAATCAAAGAAAACAGTCTCGTTGCAACCAAATTATCATCTGAATTATTTCGTTTTAGAGTAAAACTTAACGTGAGCTCACGGCTGATTTTATCGTATGCATTGGACTGAGTATATATACATTATTAAGTTACTGTCAATTTTGCACTTGTTAATTGTATTCTAAACTGTTACTGATCACCGTACTTTGAAATTTACACATTTCATATATCGACAAATTCAATCAAACAAATTTTTATCTGGAATTTTGATTAATCAGTGATTCAGTGGGCTGAATCCAAGTTTAACTCTTTTTTTAAAAATTAATTCCTGTTTCTTCAAAAATCGTTATGTAGTTTAAAATTTTTGAAAACGATTTACTGTTGTACAAAATAAGGTCACAGCGTGAGAACCCAAATATACTTTTAGTTATCATAAAGTTGATCAAATTACTAAGTAGTACATGTAAGTTTGATCTTTTGATCAAATTTATTTAGGCTTACATTTTATTTTAAAAAAACGTACTCATTTTAGACAATTAATTTAAAAAACATAATTATTAGGATTTTTCTACTTAGTAATTTGAGATTTACAGAAATAATAGATATTGACGATAAAAAATAAACAACTCACGCAAAAATGGAATAAACCTCTACGTGTTTATAACCTATACATAATAATTGAAAGCTTTTTATTTGAAAAAGGATTTTAAAAGATCTATTCTCTTCCAACTAATTATGTTTTCAGCTTAAAAAACATTACGTACTCACATTTCTTGTCTCTACAATAAGAAATTTTTAGTTCTGACATTGTGGTTGACCAATTATGGTTATCATAAAAATATTACTTTACTAATGATAAAAGCATTTTAAATTTTGATTATATTGCTTTAACACAGAATTTTGAAGCATAAAATTAATACAGTATTTAGTCAAATACCGTGTAAATATAACGTCGTGTACTTGGTGGTACTACACGTTTACCAGTAACTGGATCGTAATCAGCATCTTCAGCTTCATCTGATAGTGTACTACTTCCTTCTTCCCATTCATCGTAGTAATCACCTTCAATCCGTGGTGGTGGTTGTTCATCAACTCTTTGACCCGTTTGAATACATTTATCAGCTCGACTTGGCCAAGTTTGAGTGATTCTAAAATTAATTCACAAAGTTGAATTGACATGCAATACAAACTTTATATTTATTCATTGAAAAAAATGTTATTTTTAAGTGTAAATATAACGTATTTAAGTGAGATTTAGAGATATGCCATCTCTAAATTAGCAGATATGAATAAAAATACTATATCAATTATTAATGCAAAAAAAATAGAATTAAGCACAAAAATGAAAAAATGAAAATTTTGATGATTTAACTTCCAGATGTTCAAATCTTCCAGTAAACCTGTTTATCATTGAACTTCTTTGTCTCCATCTGTCTTCTAAAAGTTGCTTTTTATGCTCATCCATAGCTATGTAAATAATACGATCTTGTATTGGTTGTGCTTCACAAAGCCTTCAAATATTAATTTTGCATAAATTTCTGTACCAAATGATCACAACACTTTTTGTAATAATATATTCATCACTTATTGTTGAATATTCTATTATAAGACTTGAAGAAACACGTGAAATACTGTAATCTTACGACCACACATACCTTTTTATGCCTTCTTTTTCATTTGGAATGACAGTCATTGTAGCAACGTCGGGATCAATTTGTCTTATTCGATATTGACTATCGATTGATCGAATCATTCGATCAAAAATTAAGCGAATTTTTGCCTACAAAAAGATCTAATTTTTTGCTTATTGCATATTTAACAATTTATACAAAATAATTCGACACACTGTTGTGTACCCATTTCACTTTATTTTACTCAATCTATGCATTTAATTAAATTTATACTTACTTTGTTAAATTTGAACTTTTGGCAATTAATGTAATATATGACTTAATAATGGAAACAAATATATATTTTATTTAATTAATATTTGATTGATATCTTTTGAAACAACTGCTAATTAATCAGTAATTAAGTATTAATAAATGAGAACTTGAACATTTCGTTGTTTATAGTTTGCAAATAAAGTAAATAATTAGTATTTTTTTAATCTTCGAATGAAAATTTGAATAATAATAAATTAATAGCAACCTGTACAATTGCAATACACAAGCCAACAACTGAAAGACCTATCATTGTTAATGCCAAATTGAAAATAATATAATTTGGTGTTTCTGTCACGACGTCGCCTAGCCCTGAATATTTAATCATTCATAATTTAAGTTATCTAATATTTATTTTTTATTTTTGAAAAATATTTCTATCTCTTATTTTCTATATATTCAAGTTTTTCCAAAAAAAGGTCAGATTTTTTTTTGAGTTGATAATTATCTGATAAATAGATAGTGGATAAAGCTATTACAGTAATTTACAGTACTTCTATACATCAGTTTAATATTATTTCTATTATTAATCAAAAGTTAACAATCAGTACCGATTGTAGTAAGTGACGTAAAAAAGTAATAATATGCAGTAAAGTAAGTCCAATTAGTTTCCCATAAACGTACAATAAAAGCACTAATAAGAATCCACAAGAAAAAAAATATTAGCGCAGCTTTCAGAGGGACTGTACGTTGTCCTTCTGCTTCACTTAATTCTATCGGAAGTTGTGATATTTTTTTGCCACTTTCAATCTAAACTAGCAATAAGTATTAACAATAATAAGTTAGCAAATATTGATTCTTTATAAATACGAAAATTAAGCTAAATATTAGAGCTTTTTCATATCTTTAAAATGTATAAATTTTTTGAAATTCATGATTTTTTTGCTAGGAAAATCAATAAACGACAATTTTCTGAAATTTTTATGAACGAAATTTTTTGACTTTTGCCAATAAAAGTAACTTAGAATTAATTATATTATGGTATTTGTGCAGATTACAAGTGAATATTGCTGTTTCAATTTTGCTAATTTTTCAAAAATATAAGTGAAATTAAAATTTTTATTTTCTGAAAAAACTTACTTGGTGATCGGTTTGATGTAAATTATCTTGTGTGTGAGAAACTTGCGTTAGTGGTCCCAGTGATGTTAATCGAAGTGATAAATCACTTCCTGCGCGACGTGTTCTTAATTATCACGTTTTTTTTACTTCTAACAAATACGTTTGTTTTTAAATAGAATCAATTAAGAAACTTTGATGTACTAATGTTTAATTTACTATTTTCAGTTACTTTTTTTTTCAGTACTATGATTTGAAACTTATTCGTTACCAAAATTAGACAAAAATGAGCATATTTTATTTTAAAAGAATTAAAATTATACTCACGTATACACGTAAATTTTATGTCTTACTTTTCTTTTGCTAAACGTCGTTTTAAATGTTTTTGCATAGCACTTGCACAAAATTTCACATTAAACCATTTCCAAAACATATCCAACCACGTATAATACAAAAAACCCCATTCTAAAAGAATCGTAAATACTAATGGTATACCACAAAAGGCGTATATCATAGATATTATCCGACCAGCTGGAGTTTCAGGATGAAAATTGCCATATCCTGAAATCGGATCAAATACACTTACACAATTTTTTGTTTAAGACGGATTTTAAATTTGCATAAATGTTCTTAAATTTGACAAAAACATTTTTCTTATTAAAAAGTTTGCAACATACCAAAATAATTATGGCAAGTGAAGTTTCAAAATTCAATTTATATTTTGCAAAACTCAGAATTTTAAAAATTCGAAATTTGGTTTTTTTTTTTTTAAATTCTCTATTAAAAAATAAAATAAAAAACATACGTAATAAGTTTTTGAATTCTAAATTTAAACTAGACGTACTTTAAGGCAAAACATACCAATTGTTGTATACAAACTAGCAGCATAATAAACGCCACCCCAAATATTCCATCTAGTATCTTCCATTATCGGTAATTTAATATTAATACCTAATTTTTGTTCATACTTGTTTAATGCATCATTAACGTGTAGCATTTTTTGACGTTTTACTTCAGTTGAAATAATCGTAGAATTTTGTAAGTAAGTCTGATCAAGATCAATTTCCCGCAATTTCCTAAATTGTTTAAATTAGCTTATCTTCTTTTTTTGTTACAAAATGAATTAATAGTAAAACTCGTAGACTTAAATTAGATTCTACAATAAATGATTGTAAGGCTCAATCAAAATTTTATTCTTTGATCTATGACCCCAAAAAGCTACAATTTTTTATTATCAATCAGCTTATAAGTTAATTGCTTATTTGATTTTTATAGTGACAAAAGAAAAAAAAATAATATTTTTAATAACTCTCTAAATCCCACACGTGTCAATGACAAAACTAATCTACTCAATTTTTTGACTAATAATTTTCTTCAACAAATTCATAATAAAGTAATTAGTATAATTAATAACTTTTGAAGAATTGTTAAAAGTGACATACTGAAAAATTTCTACTTGTAAAATTTGATGCTTTTCGTAGATATCTAAATCTTGTTCATACTTTTTCAAAAGTTCACTTTTGTCATAATTTCCTGCAATAAATTAATTACATACATGTAAACAAGTAAATAATTAACAAGTATACTGTATTAAAAAGTAATAATTAACAAGTCAAGTAACAAGTGAATAATTTTCAATGCTGCAATAAATATTCTATTATTATTTGTCAGTAATTAATATTTTCATAATAGCAAATAACCAATACATTTTTCAATACTTGTATTCATATTAATATTTAAATAATATTTGTTTGTTGTGAAGCATAAATTTTGTACGTAATATCTTGTGGCATAACTTGTGAAAAGTTCTTTTTTTCAGAATATGAGATTTTCAAGTTTTACTAATTAATTTGAATATTTAAAAAATAAATTCAAATTAAAAAATTCAGTTAATAGTTATAAAAATAATCAAATAAAGAATCCTTGCAACTAAAAGATTAATTTTATCATCTAAGAAAAAAAAAATATCAGAAATAAAAATAAACTACAGTAATTTGGTATTAATAGAGAAACATATCTGATTTAATGAAAAATATTTGACCTTCAATAGCACTAAATAAAATACCGCCAATTAACGAATATGCAAAAAGTATAATTAGCCAAATTATATTGCGCCAAATAGTTCGGCCACCAGTTGCTTCTTCAGCTTTCATCCCTTTTAGTAATTCCATTTTTGTATTATTTTGTTCTGTCTGTTAAGAAAATTAATATTTTGTATTCAAAAAATCAGATCAACAAAAATCTTTCAATTATTTCAATAATTATATATTTTTTATAAATTGGTGTCATTTTACAACTTTATTAGCAAACGTTACTAAAGGAAAAATAGAAGTTTTTCTGGTTGGTATGCTAATTACCGTTGTGATTTTTGAAAATTTCCAGTTTCTATAAGATTTTTATCAACTTCATTTCAAATTTGTTCATTTGTATAATTCAAAACTCATTCCCTTACTTTTATCAAAAATTTTATTTACTGAAACAATTATTTTGATTTAAGTAATTATCATGATTTTAGTAGGATTTACCAAATTCAACTTTTTGAAGTTTACAATTTAAAATTAATTACTTCAGGTGGTCGACGTCGTCTTTTTCTACGTCTTTCTTGTTTATTAATAATTGTTGTATCATTATACACTGCCTTATCCTAAAACATTAGCAAATATATTTTAATAATTTATGCAAAGTTTTAAAAATTTGAAAAGTCTCTGATTATCATATTGTATCAATTAATCCATTGAGAAATTTTTACCTCAGCTTCAGTTGAATGAATCCGCACATTTGCTTCTGAAAACCGTTTAGCGCCAATTGGACCTAAATCTCCTTTATTATCATCTAATCGCTGATTCTTGCCAAGTTTAGATTGCGCTTGCATCTTAAATATAATAAAGGCTTAATGAAAGTATTCAAAAGAGTTTTGTTTTTAACTTGTAACTCTTATTTTAGTCAAATACAAATGTATAATTATGAACTGATTACCAAATTACAGTATTATTATCAAGTGATTACTGAATTACAGTTACCGAATTACAGTTATTAGCATTTTTTATGAAGATTAAATCAAAAAGATTCAGGAAATATTATCAAGTATTAGTTTGTAGCACACTGTTTTAAATGAGTTCCATCGTAAAAGTGTACTAAATTCTTTAAAAAAAATATAATACTTAAATGTTTGTTTAAAAAAATACATTTTAAAAGTGTATTATGCATTTTTGAGCGAGTTTTTTTCAAAAATTGAAAAACATTACTAATAATTGTGTAATAGCAATCGTAATTAATTCATAATTTAAAAAAAAAAAGGTAGCATTATAGTGAAAAAATGAAAAAACAATTAGTAATAAACATTTGTTTTCTGCTAATTACACTACTTAAATCATGATATATACAATTTTTTATGCAAAAAAATAATTTAATAAATATACCGTAACAAAAATTTAGCAAATAAGAGATAAATATTATCTTAATAAAATTACATCTAATTAATGCTATAAACAGTAATAGTAATTAAGTTAAGAAATTTTCGATACTATCGATTGATGAATAAATAAATATTCTCGATCAGTTTTGATCTCAAGCAACTTGAAAAGCAAATGAAAATGACTGCCAGTGCTTTTTTAATTTTGAAAGCAAATTTTTTAAAAGTTTTTGATCAAAAAGAGTGCAGATTTAAGATAAAGTATAGGCTTTGCTCATCTTGCCACAAATTCCCGTACCGAAACTTATTGAACTATTGCTTTTGAGATTGAGAATGGAGGCAAAAAGTGTAAACATAGCTTTACTTCCTTTGCTAACTATTTTAAAGTTAAATATTGATTTAAAAACTATTTAGTACTTCAATAGGTTAAAGTTCAAAAGTTGCAGAATTATTTTTTAATATTAAAATTTTTAGAGCATAAAATTATAAATTATATAATTGCATTAAAAAATTGGCAAAAATATTTAAAATTAAATAAATAAACGTTTATTTTATATCAGTATTAGTTCTTATTGAGAATAAAGGATCAATCAGTTGCATACAAATTTTTGTACTACTTTCAAATTTTCAAAAGAAGCAATCAATATTCATTTATTCAGTGATTTTTAATTAGCATATTAATCTTGCTTATTTAATTAGACCATTATTTTTGCTTTTAATCCACTTTTAAATATTTTAAAGTTAAATATTGATTTAAAAACTATTTAGTATTTCAATAGGTTAAATCATTGACATAAATATTTATATTGACAATAATAATTCTTATAGGACAAAAATCAAGGCATGTCCAGTTTACGTTGCGTGAATTTGAGAAAAAATTTATACTTTTTTAAAAATTTTTTAGTGACACTTTTGCATATATGAACACGTACGTGTATGTGATATTTTCCACTTAATATTATTGTGGATATTTTTATTCTTTTAATCCGATTACCTTTTTAAAAAGTTATTCGCGCACGTTTTTCCTTACTGTACTTTAAATATTCCACGAAATAGTTTACTAATTTATTAATAATATTAAATTATTTTAGCTGATTCATAATAATCTAAGAATATATTGTTAAACAATATTTGCTTCGAACAGTACAGCTCCGAATTTGGCGGAGAAGAAAACAGAATTTACTAATATGTTTGTATAATATTTGACTAATATGCGACTCCATCAAGCACCAAAATTACTGAGGATATATTTTAATAAATATGACTTCAAGTATAGCATACAGTAACCAGTTTTGTAAACAACATGGAATTGTGACTGCAGAAGATATTCACGTTACTATGTATATACATATATAAATAAATAAAATGTGAAGGTTAGTTTTAATTTTCGCTTTATTAGTTCTGCCTCTGGATCGTATAGCGGCACTCTGGCAGTACTTGTCCCGCGCTCAGATTTGTTGTACTCATCGTTCTCACTTCGTCCTCGTGGAATCCATGTTGACTGTCGAAGGAGATGCTTTCGAGCGCCTTCTTGAGAACTATCGATTGCATGTATGTCTCGACGTGATCAGATATACTGATCTCCTTCGCATACCGTTTA